GAAACGAGGTGTTACGATTACGCGAAGTCTGATTACATGCCTGACCTTTCGCTTAATTATCCCGCGTATTACATTTTATGCCTGACGGGAATTTCGTGTTTGCTGGGCATTTTTTTTTTTGCCTTTTTTCTTTATAATTTGAATATATACATGTTCATTAGCGAACGAAATTTGTGCAAAAATGAGGAATTTCAAGATTAGAAGTCTGCTCTTTAAGGGAAAGTGTCATCTGAAAAGTCATGAAGTTCATGAAGCTTTTTTCCTAACTGGGTGTGCTGAACCGTTTCAAACTTTACAACTTGAAGGTGGAGGCTATAAGGAAAGTCCTGCCGTTCATAAAATTTTATTTTTCATAAGAAATTTAAAAAATGGCTATGATGAAATTAAAAAAAAATGGAAATTTCATGAGTTTCATGACCTTCCTTATACCCTCCACATTTATATTGCAAAGTTTGAATCGATTCGGTACACCCGGTTTGGAGAAAAGTTTCATAAACGAGACCTCTTTGGTGTCACTTTCACATCACCTTAAGGTGGGAGGAGAGTGGCCTTTCGGGAATCGATTTTTCATGACACTTTCCTCCGATTTGGGTGAACTGAATTTTTTTAAATTTTCCCACGCGATTATGGAGGCCCTAAGGAAATTCTCGAGACTCGTAGAATTCGACTCATATATTTTTCAAAAAGTATTTGTAAGCAAATTAAAAAAATGAAGATTGGTTTCTTCAAATCCGGAGGGAATCCTTCGCATTATTTCGTAGGTCAGTGACTGAAGTTTCGATGGGATGTGAAAATGGAGGGCGAGAACACATCTCGAATGGAAAGACGTGCCCTCGAGTTTCCCGCGTAGGACTCTTCCGGGGGATTTTCCATTCACCTGGGAGGAAATCCAAGAAGTCTCGCAACTGGGTTAAGAGCCGGTAAGGAAGTCAGCCGCCATAACGAGTCTCGGGATTTTCGCTTTTTCTTTCGCACTTCCCAGGGGTACCTGGAAGGAGGGAAAAGCGCTATCCATCCCGAAGAAAGCACCGAGGAACCGGGACCAGGTCGAGAAGTGGCGCCGTTCGCCCTTCCTCGTCCTTTTCACCGTGTTAATTGTATATTTCAGCCGAGGTGACAAACCCGACTCGGTCTGCCCTCGTTACCAAGCTGGTCCACATTATGCCCCGCGGTTTTCATACGAGCGCCAACTGATCGTCCAATTTTTTCTTGCTCTCTTTTCCCCAAAAACGAGAGCTAGCTTAGCGGCGAAAATGGAGAAACGCTCCTTAAAAAATTGCCCCTCACTTCCCCGCGAGAATTAGACCATCGAGAGAGCCTTGTCAAATAGTTTGACGTTCTAGATGTCTATTAAAAAAATACGGGGGATTTTTTAGCAATTTTTAAGATTTGGTCCCCGTAGTACCACCTCATCGTCCCGAGTGAAAAATTAATTAATTCCAGCGTCATCAAATCTTAGGTTATGTAGGGAATTTAATTTTCTTTTGAAATCATTATGTTGTATTCCGCGGAAATAATTTTCCAAGTCGGAAACTTCCTAGAGGAAGTTAACGCGTCGAGTGTCCTCTTCCGGCGTCGGGTTAGGGCTCTTCGACGTCGGGGATCTCCCCGAGAGGGAATTCTGCCTCGAAATGAAAACCTGTCGGAAATTTCAACACCCGGTCGGAATTAGTGCTCCTGACAGTCGCGTTTACGCAAGTGAGAAGAGTCACCCCGAGGCTAGAGAGCGAGAGAGCGCGAAGGGTGAAGTTTCCGGAAGTTACGAGCCGCCATCCATCTCCCTCCGTCTCTCTTCGTCTTTTTGCAGCCTCGTTGGCTCTTCCTCTCTCCTGGCACCCGGGATCATTCGACGCTTTAAACGTTCCCAATTTTCGACGATGTCAACCGAATTTCCCGATCGAACCCTGGACGGGAATTCCATCCCCTTTCGCAAAACGAATTTCCTGGACTCGGTTAGGAAGTCCCTTAATTCCCTAAATCCTCCCCCTACCCTGATGTAAACCACGGAATTTTTCCGATAATTTTCCGACCTCGGTTAAGAATTTTTCGGGAGTCGGGAACAATTCGGGATAATTTTCCGGAATGTCTTCCGTGGGATTTTAATATCGATGGCGATGAGCATCGGCAGAAAAATGAAATTAAAGCCGGATCTAAGGAATTTTCCGACCTCACTTCAGCATTTTCCGAGAGTCGGGAAAAATTCGGGATAATTTTCCGGAATGTCTTGGGATTTTAATATCGATGGCGATGAGCATCGGCAGAAAAATGAAATTAAAGCCGGATCTAAGGAATTTTCCGACCTCAGTTCAGAATTTTCCGGAATGTCTTCCGTGGGATTTTAATATCGATGGCGATGGGCATCGGCAGAAAAATGAAATTAAAGCCGGATCTAAGGAATTTTCGAACCTCAGTTCAGCATTTTCCGGGAGTCAGGAACAATTCGGGATAATTTTCCGGAATGTCTTGGGATTTTAATATCGATGGCGATGAGCATCGGCAGAAAAATGAAATTGAAGCCGGATCTAAGGAAACGAGCTTCCTGGTGATTATTAGGCATTCTCGGATCTAAACGAGGTACTTTCATTACGTAAACGTTAATTCAAGAAAAGGGAACCTCCCAGGCGAGAAAACCCGGCCATCGAGCGTACCTTATTACCGCGGGCACTTTATTATACGGAAAAATAAAATTAAGTGGAAATAATGGTTATTAAGCGCGAGGCATTTAGATTGGAGCGCGATACCTTTTTATATAAAATACCGTGTCGAGGGAAAAAAAAAGGAGAAGGCAACAGGGGGGAGAAAATGTCCGCCGAGAGGTGCCGGGTGAAGATATCGTAAATCAGTTGGTTAAATGGGCCGGGGTTCGATAAATCGATCTTTCCGACACGGCGAGGCGCGTAAACGCGCCCAATCGCCTTCGTTATATCTTTCTCCTGGAACCGGGGCTCCTCCAATCGGCACTCAGGATCTTCCGTTCGCCCGGTGGCTCGAAAAAGCTACCGGCAAATCGCGAGAGAATTCTAAAATGCACCGAGAAAGCTGCTGCCAGAGATATCGATTCGCCTGGAGGCGTTTTGCGTACACTGTTAAAAAAATTCATGAAACTGGTGCACTTTGAGTACGTAAGGTTGCCGTGAAATTATAAATTTCACGTCTTAATGGTGAATTAATATACATTTGTTATTAAATTTCACGTACATTTATAATTTCATAACGTCGCATTATAATTTAAAAAAAAATATTTAAAAAATTCATGAAACTGGTACACTTTGAGTACATAAGGTTGCAGTGAAATTATAAATTTCACGTCTTAATAGTGAATTAATATACATTTGTTATTAAATTCCACGTAAATTTACAATTTCATGACGTCGTGTTATAATTTCCCGAAATTTCGGAGAAAAATTATAAATTTGACAGGTCGAAAATTTTTTGTAAGGTAAAATCGTTCTCGAACATATGTCAATTTAGTTTGCCGAAAAATCGTTTAACGTCAAGTCCTGACCAATACAAACTTATAACATACATTATAAATTTATTACACATATGTACTAAATTAATATGTGTCATACATTTTATTTGAAAATATGTTATAAAGTTTCTATAACACGTGCGAATAAATCCCCCAACAAGAATGTCACGGAAAATCTCGAGGGGAAAAATCGGCAGGAATTTACCTGAATTTTTTTCCTTCTTGTCGTATCTCCGAAAATCATATTAGATATATACTTGAAATATTTTCTATGCATTTCGTGAGGAAATTCGATCGGGAACCTCTTCGAGGTTTAGCGTCTCCTCTTCGGCTCTCCCACCGAGAACTCTCCACGAGGAAGTCTTAAGGCGATACTTTATCCTGGAAGGGAGAGCCGACACGCCTCCTCGGAGTCTGATTTTATTTATCGCACCGACGCTTTTTGTTTCCCGCTAAATACTCCGGCGTTTAAGAATAAGATGTTCCCCGATTTATGGACCGGGTCTTCCTCGGGTTCGAGCTCGTCTCGCCCCTCCGAGAGTCTCCCTCTTCGGGCGAAAAGCTGGAGCGTCGATATATCTCCTCGAGGGAATTTTCCGAACTTCCCCGCCTTATGTCCCTCCCGGTCGCGATATTTTCCTCCCCGAACTCTAAACTTCTATTTTACTTGCGGACAAACACGAGGAGCCATCTCGCCGAATACGAGCCAGACTCGCTTAATTTATTATTTAACTACTCGAAACTTCCGGACCGAAGTGTCCGAGGAGCATCCACGATTTCCTTCTTTTCCCTCCATTTCCTCGGGTCCATCATTCCGAATTTCCGCCATTTTTGGGAACCGAAATCCCGAGTCTAGACCGACATTTATTGATATTTTATTATTTATTAGATATTTTTGTGTTATTATAGAAATTTTTGTGGTTTGAATATGGTCATTCCATATATCAAAACGTCAAAATACCTCTACAAATTTTCACTTGAAAGGTTATCACGTGATTGTGGGGGCCCTAAGTAAGAACGCGATGTTGGTGAAATGTAATTTAAAAAAAAAACATGTTTTTTTTTTATCTAGCCTAGATTGGAACTTCTTCCCTAGGGTCCCCATAATCACGATTTAGAGTTTAAAATTATTCGGTGCACCCAGTTTGGAGCAAAAGTTTTTTTTTTAATATTTATACGATTTATACATATAGAATGACGGTTTAATATAAGTGCCCCATTTTTGATTCTGTACTTTTTCCCCCCGGATTTTGGAATGGTACCACCTCATCGTCCCGAGTGAAAAATTAATTAATTCCCGCGTCATCAAATCTTAGGTTATGTAGGGAATTTAATTTTCTTTTGAAATCATTATGTTGTATTCCGCGGAAATAATTTTCCAAGTCGGAAACTTCCTNTTTTTTTTTAATATTTATACGATTTATACATATAGAATGACGGTTTAATATAAGTGCCCCATTTTTGATTCTGTACTTTTTCCCCCCGGATTTTGGAATCGGTTCCTTCAGGATATCATTTTCGGTTTCAGATAAACATGGAAGCCGTGACGTCGACGGACTACGACTCTAACCTGAGTCGGAACTTCAACCAGGTGGGCTTCAACACGTACAATTACTCGCACTTCGAGGAGAAGTACAAGCCAAAGCAGTCCTTCAAGTACAGCGACGAGTACGGGGACTACGGTCGTTACTCGACAAGGTTCGTCCAGAACGTTAGGGCACCCTTGAGGCACTCCCAGGAGGGAACGTTAAGGTTCGACCAGCGTTTCTCGAGGAGTCACTCCCAGCCCGAGCGGCAGCACCACGTCCAGCACGAGACGAGGTCCAGGTCTCAGGACCCGGGAGAGCAGTTGACAATCTACCAGATAGACCCTCCGCTAGGTCTGGACAGCCAGCACCCGAAGTCGCACCGCCCCCCCATCGACAAGCAGTCCGGGAAGAAGGAGTTGACCTTCTACGAGATCGAGGGTCCCCAGCTGCAGGAGAAGGCGAAGGAGGTGAGATTCGGCCAGTCGGAAAAGGTGGAAAAATTAGAAAAGCTGGAAAAGTCCGAGAAGAGGGAGAAGCTCGGTGCGGTCCCCCCTAAGTGCAACGGGTACAACAAGGAGAAGTCCGGGAGCGTCCAGGATCCACGTCAGACAGGACCCCCCAGCTACCAGCTGAACCGGTCGCAGTCGGACCTGACGGAGTCCCAGCTGCCGACCTACCCCGGCGTCCACCGGCACCAGGACAACCCGTACATCGACCCGCCGAAGTACCGGCAGTTCGACCGGCCGCCGAAGTACCAGGAGACGCCCCCCAGGTCGGACGCTCCCCCGAAGTACTCCGAGGTGATCAGAAGGCAGGAGGACCTGAAACGCGCGCAGGTGAGTGAGGCTCTGGACCCTGGGGAAGAGGAAAGATTTCCCACGATCCATCGTAACCCTTTCCTCGTGGTCGGCCCCCGAAAAGATCCTCGGAGGCGGATTCCCGATGCGCTTCGCGGCACCCTCCCCGATAAAAAGTCGCCTCCGAGTCCCCCAACCGGATGCCCCCCCTTCCCCTTCGGGATCCGCGCTTGTCGGGACCCACGAAACGAAAGTGAGAAACGCTGTAGGCTGGTATGGCGGGCCGTGGGTCCCGGTGAAACGTGGAATTTCCCGGCGTCCTTCCTTCCCCCAGGAGTCCAGGAGGACTCTGGACGAAAGCGACTCCCGTCGGTGACTGTTGCAGGAGGAGAGGGGTCGCCGTCAGTCATCGGGCTTGCGCTCGGGCGGCGGCGGGGCGGGGGGCGCGGGGCCCTCGTCGGGGGAGCCGGCGGGCAGCGGCGTCAGTGTCCCGGCGGTCGCGCGCGAGGCAGGACCGAGGGCGAGCGCGGCGCGGGTGCAGCGGTCCGCGGGTCACGCGAGCAGCAGCCACGCGGGTCAGAGGCCGTCCCCGGAGGAGGCGCCCGAAGCGGAGGATGCCGAGCCGCCCCAGGTGAGATCCGACACCCCCAGGGGGACGCCGCGCGGCGAGGACAGGTTCAAGGGCACCGTAGACTCCCTCCTCAAGGCCAGCGAGGCCGTCCAAGGTCGCCTCTCCGAGAAGTCCATGCTGAAGCTCGAGAAGCCCAAGGCTCCCCACGAGGGCGCCAAGGTCCCCGAGAAGATGAAGCCCGGCCAGGAGTTCAAGGTCGAGCTCGCCAAGGCCAAGGAGGCTCTCGGGTTCAAGGTCGAGAACGTCACCTACTACGGGGAGCTCAAGGGGTACGACTACAAGTCCTACGGGAACATCGACGAGCCCCTGGCAGGCTTGGACAAGACATACGACAAGGCCCACGACAAGGCGGCCGCCCTTATCAATGCCCATCTCGGACACCCTGATAAGACCCAGCATCAGGCCCACGATAAGGGCCACCTCAAGGTCCCCCAGGGATACGGACCCGCCAAGATGCCGGACAATCCGGGCCAGAAGGCCCTCTACGGCGAGAAGTACTCCGATCATTACTATCACAGGACCTCTCACGCTAAGCCCAGTCCTTATCACCAGGTGTACCAGGAGACCAAGTACTCCTACAGCGTCAGCGGGGTGCCCGGGACTCCTGCCCAGGCCAGCGCCGCGGCGGCTTTCTTCGCGAGGTAAGTCTCGACCTCCTCGATTTACACATATTTTCATAAATTCTATAAACAAAATCCATAACATCGGAACATTAATTTCCGCCCATCCCTATATCAACATCAATGTAGATTTATTTCCAGGTCTGCAATGAATCTATCCCAGTTCGATGTAGGACCCGAAATTCATAGTTTAACGACAACCTCGGGGGGAATGAATCTGCCGAATGTTAATTTTAATAATTTTATTAGTCTTATTAATTATACGTATCTTGTATTATCTTCATTGTGAATCCTTGGACGATCGCAAGGAGACCGATGCATATGTCGTTTAATATCTTTAACGAGTTATCCCACTTTACTGGGATTGAAATCGAAAGGCTCGAGGTCGAGGAATAAATGTTGATAAAAATGGAAAAACAATGACTAGTGTCAAGGATCATCTGCGTCATCTGGAATCCCGTGAACGGCGTTGCGCTCTCCCGCAGTCTAATTTTCCCAAATGGACCCAGGATGCCGGTTTCATGGCCCTCCCTTGTGGACCGCGAGACAGAGATAGAGGGCGGAAAAGGGGTGGAAAGTCAAAGCATCTCCCGAGATTCGTAGTTGCCCCCAGCTATGGCGGAATACTCATAATCCGGGCTTTGATGCGGTTCCGCACCTCCTTGCCCGAAGTCCTTCCGCCCTTTTCGATTCGCTCTTTGTCCTTTGGACGGCGCGGGACGTCCCTTTCTTCCTCGGGGAAGTCGGCGAGTTCTTATCAAGGACCGCAATCGGATTTCCGGGTCGCGTCCCGCGTACTTCGGTCGGTTCTCCATGTTCTCCATGTTCGCCATGCTCTTCGCAGGACTCTTTGACTCCGTATAAAATCCCTAAACCCTCAAGGACTCCAGGAACGAGTCCTTTGATAAGCCACGTTATCCCACCCAATGTCCTCGGAAACGTTATTCTCCGCGTTTTGCGGTATGTTTCTTATGGCGTTGATAAATAAATAAAAATAAATCCCATGGACAACGCGGAGGTCTTATGGGGAATTCGAGGGCGCTCGGAACTCGCGAAAGTGTAGGTAAGGATAATTAGCACCTTACCCGATGGGAAATCACGGATCACGGGATGGGGCAAGGGGCTTAATCGGAGCCGGATCGGTCGATCGCGGTCGAGGAGATCGATCCCCTCGATCGGCGGAGGATCCGTCTTCTCCGATATATCGGTGCCGCACGATCGACCCGTCGATCCACGATCGATCGTGACGGGAATCCGAACGACCCGACACCTGCTTAGCGATCGCGTCCCCGGTAAGGTGAAGCGTCACGTGGGTCCCTCTTCTTTCGGCTCGGCCCTTTCGGTATACCTCTGTCCCTCTCTTTCCTATCGATTTCGCGTCTCGCCCTCTCTTTCTCTCCGACACTTTCGGAGATCCGTATCTTAGGATGGGCGCGCCGCTCGACGCGCTCGGAATCCCCAATTTCTCCTCGGGAGTCGCTCCCGATGTCAAGTACCGAAATTGCTGCTACTCGAAATTCACCTGCAAACGCGGTAACCATTTCTGGGTGGATTTTTCTTTAGTATCCGCCATTAGCCTAAGAGGTCCTTTTCGAGATTCCCTCTTTCTTTCTTTTCAAATTTAAGAATAAAGATGGCTTAAAAAATTGTGAAAAAAATTTGAAAAATTACGGAAATGTTTAGGGATAAAGAGGGGGCATTAAAGGTTAAGGCGATGTGAAAGTGGCGTCGTAGAGGCTTTGTTTATACAACTTTTCTCCCAACTCGGTTTACCGAATAGGGTGAAACCTTACTACGTTAATGGGGTGACTATAAGGAAGGTCCTGGAACTCATGAAATTTCAATTCTTTTCAAATTTCTTTATAGATATTATTAAAATAGTTTACAAAAAATGAAATTTTCCGAGTTTCAGGACCTACCTTAGGGTCTCCATATTCAGGTGTTAAAGCATGGAACGATTTCAGACACCCAGTTCGTTGAACAGTTTTATGAACGATTGAGCTTTCGGATGGCACTTTCCCATCCCCTTAAGGGGAAGGTGTATCGAGTTCCTCGACCCCGGTGCAGCGTGGTGTCCGCTGGGGATCCTCGGGTCCTCCTTCGGTCATCCGGTCCCTCTCTCGCGATGAAGAGAGACGGGGCGAGAAACACATCTCCGTTTCCGGTTTCTCTCGTTTCGGCCTCGTCTCGTTCCGCGAGATTTCCCAGAGTGGCAGCAATTTGAGCTTTGACAGGCCGGCCCTTCCTCGGCGTCTCGTCCTTTTCCATTTTTCCTTTCGCCTTGGCTCGTTTCATCCGCCCCGTATTTCCCGGGGCCCCTTTATTTCCTCCCTTTTTCTCGCTTTCCTCCCCCGTCTATCCGGCCTCGTGCGGATTTTATTTCGTTGAAACGCTCCGCCAAGGATGATGGATTCCGGAAACGAAGGCAAAGTGCCCCCTCCTCCTTCCCCCTCCTTTGTCTCGGGATGAGAATCTTTATCCCCCTCCCCCGAGGACTCGAAAAACCGAAAAGGGGGAGGAAAATTGAAGTTAGCGTCCTGATGATCCTTCCTCGACCTTCTCTAGCGGAATTGAGTTTCTTCCGAAGGAGACTCGTTTCTTCTCTTTATCGGGGAGGGACCTTTTGACGGGGTCGATGGGAAATTGAAATTTCCCTCTTTCTTTTCTTTTTTTTCTTTTTCCCTGCGAATCTCTTCGCATGCAACGAGCGGAGGACGTCGAACGCGGGGGGATCCAGTTTCGTCCTCGAATGTCCTGGGGTATTTTTTTTCGTTTTTCTTATCAAACCTTATCGGAATGAATTTTACGTATTTAATGTCCTGGGGTATTTTTTTTCTTTTTTTTTCTTATCAAACCTTATCCGAATGAATTTAATGTATTTAATGTCCTGGGGTATTCTTTTTCTTTTTTTCTTATCAAACCTTATCGGAATGCATTTAACGTATTTAATGTCCTGGGGTATTCTTTTTTTTTCTTCTTATCAAACCTTATCGGAATAAATTTAACGACACGCATGCGCCGGGACGAAGGATCCTTGGTCAGTTTTATCCGGCATTTTGCAACTTCCCGAAAATCGAACGAAGGACGGCTTGATTGTTGGTTTAGAAAATTGCCTTTTAGTTAGTGGGACGAATGTGGAAGTCTTGTTGTTAAAGGAGATATTCAGAAAAGTATGACGCGGTCTTCTCGAAGTCCAACCTTCCAACTTCGAGTCCTTCTTCTCGAGGGAAAGTGGGATGCACCGTGTCATTGTTAATAATTAACTCGGCTGTCAAACGTCCGGAGGACGAGTCTTCGAGACGTCGAGGGGTTACGCAAGACGCGGACGCGAACCGCTGCGGAAATCCTCCGGGTAATCCGCGGACGCGGTTCCCGAAGGATACCTTCCGGGCGCCGCATACATATTTATGGACGGGCCCGATCTCTCCGGCGGGATCTTTCCTGGACGTTGACTATAATCTTCCTCTCTTTCTTCCCCTTTCTCTCCCTACCGCCCCCTCCGGGCCCTCCGTACGGTATAAATCCTATTAAGGTCCGATTGACGTCACGCTTCGCGTCAATCGCTTCACGTGGAAACATCCTCGACGAAGATGCATCGTCCGGCTGATGGTCAATTCCAGGGCTATTCATCTTCCGGTCGGCGATTCCCCCCGTTTCATCCCCCGAACAATTTCCACGGGCTTTCCGCAACCTTTAAACCGCTTAGGGAAAATTTGCGGGGCGGTTCGACCCTTTGAACGCGGAGCCATCTCGACGTATGGGCGAGATTCGTATGACCGGGCAGGCAATATTGGACCGAACGTCGGGCGCCTCTAGGCACTCTTAGTAGCCAAAGGGTTAAAAGTTTGAAATTTCACGGGCAGCAAGTTCTTCCTTAGAGCCTCCGTAATCACGTGTTAAAGTTTAAGATAAATTCGGTGCACTCAGTTTGAAGATAAGTGTCATAAATATTTTGACTCTGGTACGTACATATCACACTTTCATATCACCTCGAAGTGCCGAACTGGGTGCATGGAATAATTTTAATCATTAACGCGCGATAACGGAGGTCTCAGTGAATGACGCGAAACTCGCTCTAATTTAATTTTCATTTGGACAAAAATTTGATTTATCGCCGTGAAGAGGAAAAAAAAAAAATAGTATTGTCTGAAATTGAAATATCGCGAGTTTCGAGACCTTTATTTTGGGTGAAAATCAAGGTCATTTTGCGAATCACTAACGTGTGATCACGGAGGTCCCAGCGAATGACGCGAAACTCGCTCTAATTTATTTTTCGTTTCGACAAAAAAAAAAAAAAAATAGTATTGTCTGAAATTGAAATATCGCGAGTTTCGAGACCTTCATTTGGGGGCGAAAGTCGAGGTGGATCTCGATCGCGATGACCCGCGAGCTCCCGGGGGGTCATCGGGGGTGAACCTCCCCCGGTTCAACAGGTAGCACCGGGCGGGGCGGTCCGCGGCCCCTCGGCCCTCTGCATTATATTCATATCATGTAAATGCACCGTAGAAACACCCCGCCGGCTCATTTCCCACCCCCGTCGGAAGGGGGAGCTGGGTCGCCGACCCGGAAGGGTGGGACCACGACCCACCTTGCATTTATTCCGATGGGATAATGGGTCCCCGCCTTGGAGCCGTCGCCTCCACTCTGCATACCAATCGGCCGCGATACACGCCCCAGAGGGAAAAGTCGATCGCCGGGAGGAAAAGCCGGTTTCTCGTATTTAAATCGGTCTCCTCGGGTTTTAAGCGATCCCCCCGGCGTCGCGACGCCGGGTGCAAGTACGACTCCGGACGCCCCCCGCGAAGGGGCGGCCCTTTCCTTCCTCTCAAAATTCCATTTCCGGCAAAAGGGGGAATTAAAATCGAAAATCGCCTATTATGAATAAATAAATTGGATTTAAAAAAAAAGAAAAAAAATAAGAAAGAAAACTAAGCCAAGAGGAATAATCCCCTTCCTCGTGGATTTTTAAGCACCTCGACCTCGTGGACGAGGAGTTTGGATTTTCCGTTCATCGGGTCGAA